GGAAGACTGATGTTTTAACTAAGACACATCCATCTACACTGCAGCTTTATAAACACACTGTTTGCTGAGTAGGGGCTGCCTGTGCAGTTCTATTTCTGATTTTCTAGAAAGGTCAAAGGACATCAGGCAGATATACTGGAAACCTGAAAAGCACATCATTGAAATTCAGACAAGAAAGATCTAAAATTATTCAGTACAGCCTTCACTTGATAATCTGCTATAGATTTAAATGCTACAAGCAAAACAGTTACATTTTGTAAGTATCTTTTAAGGTCTTCTCTACCTAGAAAATCCAGCCAGAAAGAAAGCAGCCCCTCAGGAACCTGTGGACACTCAGCAAGGAGGGAATGAATGTACAGCAGGCAAAGCAACAAACCCAACCCAGCTACCTCAGAGGAAACCACAGCCCTGAAGGCACCACCCTGGGCACGTTCAGACTCACAGTGCAGAGGGAAAGTCACACAAATGGCTCTGGGGGCAGCTGGTGGTTACAAATACACGTCCCTCACTCCAGCCCCGTGCCAGGGCCTCTGCCATGCTGCAGCTGATCCAACAGGTCCCAGGCTGGGAGTCGGAGCAGCAGGGACAGGCTGCAGGTGGATGCTGCCTCTGAGGCTGCTGGCAGTGCCACCAGGCTGGAACTGCCACTCCTGCTGGTGGCTCTCCAGAGCTCCCAGGTCTGCTGACCCTTCCTTTCACCTTCCCACTCTTTCTGTGACCTGATGTGAGACTTGTGCACTGGGAAAGAAGGAACCTGAGAGGCTTTTTTCCAATCATTGACTTGACTCACAGGGTGTGTTCCAGCATGGAAGCCAAAGGCCACTCCAGGTTCACTGGGAATGGGAGGTGCAGATTCTCAGTAGAATTTTGGCAAGAAAGCTGCTTTTGTCAGTCTGTCTTGCAGCCAGCAAATGGAAGGGAACAGCCCTGAGATTCCAGATTCTTCCTAACACACACGGTTGTAAATGAGAGCCTCTGTAGCTTCTAACATTATGCAATCAGTTATATTAGAAAAAATAAATTAATCATCACCAGTTTTAAGATCTACAGTAAATATAAAGAAGATAATTTTAAAAGACCCTAATTATATTACAAAATGTAGTCCTCTTAATGCCAAGCTGTAAAAGTTGGTTACAGATTTTAACTGGACTTCAGTTTTACAAGCATGACTATAAGCTACAAATTTGCTTCTTCAGAGAAGCATGAAGACAGGATGGGGAAGAAGCTCTTGTTCCTGCAATGCACCAAAGCTGATCTGTAGCCAGGAGAAGTTTTGGACATTATGTATTTACAGCACCAGCACATAAACCAGGAGTCAGCCAGGGCAGCCTTGCTGACAGGCTCTGCAGAACAGCTCTGCTATTCTTCTCTCTAGGGATAAGCTCAACACTCAGATCCTATGAGGGAAAATACTCCTGAAATTCACACCAGGCAGCTCTGAAGGTGCCAAACCCAGGTCTGCCACAATGCAGCATCTGGGCCACTGCACCCCTGAGTATCACCCACTCGAATGAGCAATGCTCAGTGAGAAAGGTCCTGCATGCACAGGCACCTGAGGAGGGTTAAACGGTCCATAATTTCAGTATATCCATCTAAATTAATTGGTTGAACTTCCTTTATAGTCCATGGGCAATCACACTTGCTGTGTGATTCATCCAACCTCTTTTAGTAGCCAGCTGCAAGTCCAGGTATGACCTTTGAAGTGTTTCTCTTCAGTGAGTACAAAAGAAGTAGAGAGACTGCTTCATACAGGGGTGCCCCATTGTGGACATCTTCCAGTAGGTGAGATGAATCCAGCCAGGCTGTGTAAGAGCAGGGGGAAAACTGCAAAACTGAAAAAGTGATGCAAAGCATTTTGCAGAGTCCTGTGAGTTTAGTCTTCTAGTTTTGCACAAAGTCCTCAAAGATCCTGAAGTCAGGTCTGATTTTTAAATTACTCAAATTTTCTCCCTCTGTTGGCACCACTCTTTTAGAAGAATTACAGAACCACAGTGTTTGTTCTCTGGACAAAATTAAAAAGAAAAAAATACTCCCTATGTGGAGTTCTTTATTATCCATTGGTAATTAATTTCCTCATTAAACGTTGACCATGAGTTTACAATGAAAAGTAATTAAGCGAGGCCAGAAGCTGCAGAGGTTGGATGAGCTTTTGAGCACTCCCTAATTGAAGGCCTTGCTGTGGGCCAAAGGGTAGCTGGAGCATCTTTCCAAAGGTGAGATCAACAACTTCCAGTGAAATGACACTGTCAGGACAACAGCCTCCTTAACCTCAGCCCATCCAGGGCTGCCTGAGCTGTCCCAGCACTGCCAACCCATTTCCTGCTTGTCACATTTCAAATGGCTCCCGTCCCTTGGTAGTCCCATCTTCTAATTAGTCACTAGTTACACTGTCAGGTGTTTTATTCCCACAACTGTGTGAGGAAATGAGGATTAGCTCTTGAATTCTGCAAAAAGGAATGGGTATCATTGGTTCTGTGCCTCCTTTTCTACCCGCAGCAGTCCCTGTTCCAGCAGCATGAAAGCATTCTAGAAAGCACCTGAATACCTTCCTGCATGTTTTTGGAAAAAAAAAAACTCACCTCTGTAGGGAAATGTGCTTCAATTCAAGACTGTTCTCACACACATCCCCAATTATTTTCACTTTCTTTTAAAGCACCAACCTCTTGTTTACTCACTGATGTATCTCAGCATGAGAATCTCCTAAGTTCAAAGCTTAGCTTTTTTTTTTTTGCTGATACAAGTATTCCTTCCAGTGTTTACTCAGCTCACGCAAGCCCCTATAATTTTGTCAGTGTTATCTTTTCAAAGGTATTTTGTCTGTTCAAATATATTAAATGTAAAACAAAACCAAAGGCTGCATACAGTTTGAAAAGAAGGATGCAAAAGGCAGTAAAGCAAGAACAGCCCTGCCAGGGCCTTTCCATGAGGGATCTGGGATAGCTGGGGCTCAATTCTGACAAAGGCAGCACTGCAAGTAGTGGAACTAAAAACACTCCAGTGGGAAATATGTGTAAACTGGTTTTAAACTGCAGTACAATACAACACCTTTGATCTGAGGGCATAGTTCAGACAGACCAAGACTGACAGATAAAACAGTATTCCTCCAAATATGTAAACGGCTGCTGCAAAGGGAAAAGGAATTATCTGTCCTCTGGTGGGAAGAATTGGAAGACTGGGCTACTACTTAACAGGTGAGGTATGAGGGAAAACTTTCTGCTAGAAAGAGGGGGAGTTTCTAGAATTTGAGTAATGGGAAAGGGTCAGAGAGACAGTGTTGGAACAGTGTTGGACTGTCTTGGGATAGCTGATGGATAAGATGATAGTGTGATGTGCAAAATATATTCTAATCACCATCTCTTCAGAAAGTCAGAGTTTAACATATTCAAAATATGGAACCAGCGTTAATATCCAAAGCAACTCAAACCCTACTGTGAACTGCAAGTCTCACGATAGTTCATGGGTTTGCTTTTTTAAAGCCCCAGCTGCCAGATTCATGCATTGCAAAGCAATCTCATCTTTCATTTTAAAAAGTTATACTTCTACTTCTCAAAGCTGTGGAAAGAAGCCTGAAAAGATGAAGTGCCAGTATCCTTAACAGCTCCAAAGAGAGAAGGCAAATAAAAGGAATTCAAAGTACATTGGTTTAAGCCAAACTCATAATTTCTTTTTCCCAGGCCTAGCTCATGATTTTTGAGAACTGGCATTTGAAAATGCTGGAAACACAAAACTCTTAATAAGGAACAGGGGGGAGTTACTAAGAAGCTTGAAGAAAGCTGTAAGATTTGTTCACCACAGTAAAAACGTGAGTATTAAAGTACTGAAGAGGGAGATTTGTTAATAGCTACCAAAACTCCGGTACTTTCTCACACAACAATCAGTTCCACAGTCCCTGGTGACTGAGCTGTGCCTCTCTTTGTTACAGTTTTATCTTTAATTGTACATCAGCCTGCTGGCTGGAACGTGACAAACTCATTTTGTTTCCTGGGGAAAGAGAGAGGCCTTTTGGGGCTATAGAGAGCCTGATACCTGTGACCAAAACATTCAAACAAATACAGACAGAGAACAAACCCAGCTTCTGTATTCAGTGTTCATGGCCTGGTTTATTTTGCTCTTACCCAGCATCTCTGCGCTTCACGTTGCTATCAGAAAGCCTTTTTTATTGACTTTAGGAAGTATATTTTTCTGATAAAGGAACAATTATGGAATTAATTTGTTTTTTAAACAAGCTTTTCTTACAGGAATTTTTCTTTTTTAATGAGCTAGAATAGCAAAAACATTTCATCAAGCTTCTGTTGATGTACTTAAATATGTCCAAATAAATAGCATATTTTCAAGTTAAGTAAATACCCACATACCAAATCTGGATCCTGTTTAAGCCCCAAGAAAAATAATAATATTGTCTATCCACGCTGATGAATATGCTATAATGTATTATATATGCTTTGAGATTGCTAGACAAAAACCTACATATGTAACAGAATATGACTGAAATTCAGTCAGACATGTTTTCCATTCCTTAGAAACTGAAAATCCACAGCAGATCTTCAATTCTCCCACTAGGACAAAAATATTTCTTTATTGCCTCTTGCCCATCCACCAGCTGAAGGGAGCTAACTCCACATGCACACTCTTATCTCCACACAAGCTGTACACTTTGGGGAGCATATGCTGAATAGATTAAATGAGAAAACAAGTTGTTGCAAATATATTTTGCCTTAAAACATCCCAGGCATTTTTGATTTAAGACAACCTTGCATTTGAGAAGGAAGAATAATTAAAAATATTTATTAATTTTCATGAAAGAAATTTAGTATTTTGCAATCAATTTCAATTTTACTGTAAGTACAAAACTCAACTCCTCTAAAATTGCAAAATGTCTCACTGATAATACAGAGACAGAGACCATACATCAAATGAATCCTTTACCCAAGGTCTTTCTGTGCAGTGGTGGGTATTCATATTCCTAAAATTCCCTGCCTAGCCTTTTCAAATAGCCCCTTCAAATGTGCTGCTGCATTAGTGCTGAAATGCAACAAAATGCAAAACATTGAGATGATTAAGAGGCTTTTAAAGAAAATGCTGTGACAACCTGGCCTTGCACAGAATGGTACCGTGTTTGACTACCTGAATTAGATTTAATCTGGCTCCCCCAGAGGTAATAATAATATAATATGCTGTAAAAAGGAGTCTAAAAATCTTAAATTGAATCTGTATGTTTGCTAAGAAAGTGGCTTTGTCGGCTGTACATTACAAAATTTTAATATTTTCAGCGGGCAAGCAATACATCTTGTCTAGACAGTGGTGAAATTTTCAGACACAAAATTATTTTAAATTCTAAAACAAATAATGCCGACTTCGCCCCCCCCCCCCCCCCATCCCTAACAGATTGTGGAATGTCATTTACTTTAAATTTGCAGCCAGACATCACATAGCCAGAGAAATTGCCTGTAAGAAAAATAGGCTGACACTTATCACTGCATTCCAGGGGGACCAGGGGGTGATGTCAGCCCTCTCTGTTTCTCCCAGACAATTGAGCGTCCTACAAATCAATAAAAACAAGGTTTATTGGTATGTTTGCTTTATCACACTTGAGCCACTTTCATTGTCCTAGTGACAAAGTCTTCACAAATTGAATCATTAAACACAGTAATTGTGTTTCAAATACATTTCAGAGAGGAGGAAGGGAAGGGAGGGTGTAAAAGATTATTTGCTGCAGTATTTACGGCTGCAGAATTTAGGTTTGTAACAGTTTGCCGTACCTATATTTTATTTTTCAATATGGAAAAAGGAGCAGGGGGAGGGGACAGAGGAGGGACCCCAATAAGTGGAACAAACAGTCGCACTCAAATTTAGCCCAGCAAAGCTTTTAATATTTCGCTGAGCTAATGTTATATAAGGAATTTCTCAACAGCTCCTCACGCAAAATGTCAAACTTATTTTAAAATTATTTTTGTAAAAATAGATGGTCTTGGAAAAAAAAAAATTTAAAATTGCACCCTGGAGTCGGGATCTAAGGACTGTTACCATCCTGGTGGTTAAAATAATTCCTTCCCGGGTGTTGCTCAGTCCCTTACGCAAGCCTGTAAACTCATTTCGCCCCAGCACTCTTTAAATCTTTGTCGCTCTTTGCATATGTGGTTGTGATTTACATGCCACCCACATTTAAAGAGGTATTGACATTTTCAAGGCGGCTATTTTAGCCCCTGGATTTTTTAAATGGAATCAATCACACTTTATTTCTTCCCTCAGGAGCCCAGACCTGTGTCTGTGGCTCGCCCACCTCTCTCTCCGCAGCCTCAGGGGCGTCCCACAGCCACACATGAACGCTCAGCATCCCTCAGCGGTTCCAGCCATGGACTGTGGAGCCCTGGCAGGGCTGGGTGCCCCCAGCACTGGATTTTGGCCTCCCTGCTCTCACAGTTTCTGTGCAGGCTGAGTTTGGGTGGCAGAGCAAGCCAGAGGCAGATTCCACAGGAGGATGAGCGCTGTGCACAGAAGGGGCAGTGACTGGCACCTGGCAGCTCCGTGGCGATGGCTTTGTTGGGCTCCATGGCGCTGCCCAGGTCAGCCCACGGAGCTCACACAGCTCCCACACCTCCAGGCCTGCCTCGGGACTGCAGCACCGACTGCTCTGGGCAATGGCATTTGGGTTTTTTGTCTTAGCGCCCTTCTGGAGCAGGGAGGGGATGGGGGGACAGCAGAGGTTCTGTGGCTGGAAAAGCCAGGCTTAGCTGCACCCACACAGCCACGAGTCTGCCTAAAGAGCCACCGTGCAGGTGGCACTGTCCTTCCCCTGCATCAATCAGGGAATGCGTCTCCCTCCCCTCCTTTGGTCTTTGCATTTTTCTTACTCAATTAGCCCAAAATGGAACATGGTCATGCTCCCAGCTGCAGTTTCCTTTGAGCACAGAGGTATCAGACCTTTCCACCCATTATACAAATTGCACTTCATCGCTGAAAATCTAATCTAAGAGGCAATGATAGCCACGTAAAAATACCGTAAGGATGTACAAGTGCTTCCTACCCTGCACTGTCTCCTAAGATGAATGGAGGAATATCAGTCAGGATCTCTGGTTCCTCCAGCAGCTCTCAGTTTTTAGGGCCCTTCCCCACATTCCACTGATGCTGTTGGGAGTGTCAGCAAGGCAGTGTTTCAGGGAAATCCAGCAAAGCACACTTAGTGCCCAGCACACAGCACAGCACTGATCTCCAAGCAGTGTCTGCAGACTCAATCCCATCTTGGCCAGCAGCAGAATTATAGCTGTGTCCTGATGTTAGGCAGGGATTAATTCAGGCTTCCTTCATCTCACACAGAAGCAGCCCTATATGGGCCCTGCCAGAGATTTGGTTTAAAGACAGTTAGTGGTTAGTGATCCACATTGATCCTGCCAAGTAAGGGTGGACAGGATCAATGGACTTGCTTGGTGACTCTTTTCCCTTTCTCTTTCTGAGGTAGTTGTTGAGGCAGAAAAAAGCTCCTGCTGAGTGTAGAAAAAATATTCACCAGGAGCTCCCTGGTACCACTTCAAGTGTAAGGCAGAACATTCTCAAGCCCACCTTGCTTCTACCCCAAATCTGCCGCTGCAGCCACCAACTGCAACCCATTGGTGATCCTGAAGGGACAGCAATTCTGTTCTCCCTCTGCTATGCACAGCAATGCCACCCATGGGCACTAACAATGATAAAAGCCTTCTTGAAACTTAAAGGGGAGGGATATAAGTACATTGTTCATGTGTGTGAAAAAATTAATCTGCATCTGGGTCATTCCTTCCATCAAACCATGCAAACCAAACTCAGCAAGCTCATGACAGACACATGGGCTTACTGATGGCTGCACCTTACATTTTAAAAAGATCCTTGTGCAAACTGGCTCCCTTGGCTGTATTATACACCATTTATCTTGGAGGAGATCTGCTCCAAAAGGAGAGTCTGGGTTTGGTGAGTCTGTCAGTGACGGCTCTATTTCCCAGTATATATTTACACTACCATCAGACTTGGTGAGTGGGTTTGCTGTCAAACTCGCGAAGCACAAACTTGACAGTTTGGTTTGAAGTTCCCTTCCCCACTCTTGGGTCGCACGAGAACACTGAATAGATGCATTTGCTATAGGTTATAGCAATCCTGACAGTAGTGAATGAATGATTGCTCCTAAAAAGTACAGCTTGTTCTGACATTATCTCTCCATTGCATTCTAAAAGTGGCTAAACCAGAGACATCCTTCCCCATCTCTCCCCACCCCACTGCCATTCAGATCTCTTCTGGTTCAGCAGCCTGCATTTCCTCACTGATGTGAAGGGGCTATGGATTTACACCAGGGGGACGTGATGCCCAGTGGTAACATTTACAGCATAACAACCATTTATTTTTCCAGTGAAGTGTTTAGCTTATTGATGAAAGAAAAAGTATTCTACCCTCTTGTGTGCCTAAGTAGTCAACGTCCCTAGTGAAATGAATAAAATTCTCATAATCTGTTCCACTGGAGCCTATTTCTGTTATAACTGAAAGCAGGAAATGTTGTTGCAGACTTCCATGGGAGCAGCGTTTGCCTCATGAAGAAGAATTGGTTAAACATTGCATAGTTTAGTAACTCCTGACTTAAGAAAACTCCGAGACACACTTCCCAAGAAAGCCACACTCTCTGTAGCTGGGAACAGCCTGGCTGGATCAGCAGCACTGGCAGCAATGAAAGACTCTAAAACATAGATACGAAAAATGATTAACTGACTTCATGTGACTATTTGTGCTTAAAATTAGGGCAAGCACTCAAGAACTCTGCTGAATCAGGGCCTTGATTGGTACCAATAATGAATGCAGACATTTGGGAAGGTGTGTTTCATTGCTGCCATCATGTTTTATTTTTTGAGATGTTAAAGAAAAATATCAAGAAGATATAAAACAAGTAATTAAATTCCTGTTTTGTGTAATGCAGAGCAAATATTTGCTTCAAGTTTTATGGGCATCTTGCAAATCAAAATCATAAAGGCAGATGAGCTTTTGTTTAAAAAAAAGGCATGCTGATGGCTCAGCAGAAAATAATAGGAGTTTGTTTTTGGAAGAAAAAAAAAAAACCCTGACATGAAGCACAAACACATTTCATTAGGTGACACTAATAGGGGCTGTCAGGTGCCTTCAGTAGCAGAAAACATCCTCTCATATCTCAAGTTTGTGTGGAAGTCAAGAGCACAGACTTAGCTCAGATAAGATATTTGATTTGTGTTTGCTCAGGAAAATGCTCTGACAGTTTAGCTAAAAGGAATTTGTATTAAATTGGAGTAAAATTTGGACTAGATAACAGCCAAGAGAATACTGGGGCTGGGCTGGGCCCAGAATTAGACAATGGAAACAAGCTGATGAACAAGTTACTGGAGAATATCAACTGAAGTACATTCTTTCTTTATCACATGGACCTTGCAGAAAGTGAAATTCAAAATGCCAAAACTGCCTGGTTTGGACACAGTAAAAAAATCATTTTCCAAAAAGTACAATCCTACCATTTTCGTTCTTTCTCTTTCACCTGTATCAACACTTTCTTACCCCTCTAAAATCTGCCTTGAGTTTGACCTAGTCAGAAATCAAAGCAATACAAAACAGCCATTATGGTATAGTTTCAATACTATTTTCATGTTTAAAGGAGGGTGTAAGGACAAGCAAACACTTGGGTACTGGAAGGGCAGAGTTTGAAGCTTTGTAAATTGACCCTCCTCTCTCAGCTGAGCTCCCTGTCCATATTATAACTCCACATTATATATGGTTGGGCCTTTCCCGGAAGAGAAGGGAGGGCAGCCTGTGGTGGAGGTTTTTGGGGGGTTTCCAGGTGTGTGGCAATCCAGCCACAGGGAATTCTAGAAGCACAAATTGAGAGCTTTCGAATTCCCACCAGGCACTGATGGTATTCCTGCATTTAAATATTTTCCCATTTTAGAGAAAATATTTCATTTAGGTTGATCTGCTCCTATATCCATTATTTCCATAACATTTTATAAAACAAGAGAATTACTGCAAAAATTGTCCAAGACAGATTTTTTTTTTTACTTGCTCTATTTCAGATTATGCCCACATTAGATTTTCACCTCTCTGTTGACATCTCCAAAACAGAAACCAAGGTTGGTATTGACATAATTTTGATATTTAACATACAGTTAGGTGCACAAGAAAGATCCCATGAGCAATAAATTCTTTTCCACAGATAAATTAACCCTGTGGTGGAGTAAAGCACATCCCCTCTTTGCCCCTGAATTCAGCACTATAGATGACAAAGAGAAAAGGTGAGGTCTGTAAGAAGAGCCAGTGTTTTTATCAGGGCAGCTACTGCAGACGAAAACAAGGAAATAAAACATACTAATATATTTTCTGCTGTTCTGTTCTCAGGAGGGTTGAAACAATGAAGTAGCTTAAGTAATGCACAGAGCAGACTGGATTTATAGCTGAAGCTCCATCCTTTACCTGGCTGCATGGGCTGCACTGCCACCACTGCACTGCAAACCCACCCTGCTCAGATCCCTCTGACACATCCCAGCACCATGGAGTAACAAATCTGGC